TAAAATGTTTCAGACACATCGTTTACATTCCCAGCAGGAGATTGATGCAAGCTCTAACTCCTGCATTCCTCTGCCCCCCACCTCTTGTCTTCTCTGAATGCTATAAAAACTGATCTGTTACATCCATTAAATGAGACCTTGACAAATCTGCTTGGTCTCGCCTCCTCTTCTTTCTCGTGCCCATTCTCTTTACAGGCTGGGTCCCCCTCGCCCCCCGAATAACCGTGTCCCGCAGGACGGGACACTCAGCCTCCCGAGTAAGGGGCACTATAGATGCCTGCCACAACACCTGGCTATGTTTTTCTATTTTAGTAGAGATGGGGGCTCACTCTTGCTCAGGCTGGTCTCAAACTCCTGAACTCAAGCAGTCTTCCCTCCTTGTTCTCCCAGAGTGCTAGGATTATAGGCATGAGCCACTGCATCCACCCCCAATGCAGTTTAAAAACATAGTCTCACTTAAGTACTATTATTATCTCCATTTGTCAAACAGGAAAACTAAGATTTAATGTGGTTAAGTAACTGTCCCAAAATCATACAGCTGATAGATAGTGGAGTTTGAACTATCTGTTCTTATCAATCTAATTGCTCTTCACCCACTCATGAAAGATTATATTGAGGTCCTTGTTTAAAAAAAAAAAAAAAGGATGGGGTGGCACCTGTGGCTCAAAAGAATAGAGCTCTGACCCCATATGCTGGAAGTGGTGGGTTCAAACCCAGCCCTGGCCAAAAACTGAAAAAAAAAAATGTATTATTCAACTGAACCTTGCTTTTAGACATATTAGAGTCAACATCAAATTAATCAGGCACTCAAATCTAATGAGACATACACAAGTTGGTCAAAAAATGACTCCAAGCTTAAGACATGTTAATTGACATATGCACAACTCTGTAACTAGCAGCTTCACTGCAGGAGGTGGGTGAGGACACCATTCGGAAGAACAAATAATGTATATGAAAACATAGAAGCACAGAAGCATGCGCTGACAGGTAATGTATGGGTCAGAGGCACAGCAGAGATACTGCTGAGCTATCCCAACAGTAAGCCAGCATTTATTCTTTTTATTCTGCAAATTTCTGTATTTGTAGATAATTTTCTGCTATGATACCCTGTCTTGTAGGATGGGAAGGGATGAAATCTCTTTTGAATTTAAATTCGACATTATCAAGTCTTGATGATCATATACCAAGGAACAGAACTTCCATGAATAGAAATCACTAACTTACCAGGTGATAAAGGCATAATTCACTCCAATGATGATAAAGCTTAGTGCATAATGCCAACAAAAGCATATGGTGAGAAACAGAATGTTGTCATGATCTGTTGGATCCCAGACATGACCTCCATTGAGGGGATACAGAACAAAGGCGATCTGTAATTTAAAACAAAAAACACATATTACAATGACCAATCACATTCTTAAAAATGTTACATTTCAAAATGCTTGGTTCCAAGATAAATAATAACCAAGATAACTCCCATTATCCAAACTGCAATAGATAAAACATCATTTTGCTGCCTGTTTTAGTAATAAAGACAGTAGCTACCAGATCATATTTTTTAAAAAAGGTTTTAAAGAAAATTTCATAATAAATATGTGAAACATGAACACTGATCATCTCTGGACATTCACAGAATGTCTTAAGTTTCACTTGGTTATTTCAAAATCAGAGGAGAAAGGTTTTAAAATTAATAAATGTCTGAATTAACATTATGTTCAATAGTGAAAGAATGAAAGCTTTTCCCTAAGATGAAGAACATGCCTTCTGCTTTCACCACTTCTAGTGAACATTATCCTGGAAATTTTAACTATAGAATTAAGCTAGAAAAATAAATAAAAGGCATCCATATTGTAAAGAAAGAAGTGAAACTATCTATATTCACAGATGACATGATCTTACATGTATAAATTCCTAAAGAATCCACCCCAAACTGTGAGAGCTAATAAATGAGTTCAACAAAGTTTAACGGTACAAAATCAACATGCAAAATTCAGTTGTATTTCTACATTCAAGCAAAGAACAGCCCTCTCAAAAATTAAGAAAACAATTCCAGACAATTGTTGGTTGTTGAATTTGTTGGTCAGACAATTGTCTCATTTTCATAGACTGGAAGGTTTAATATTGTTGAGATGTGCAAGCCTTCCTCAAGAGAACAGAGAGAGAGGAAGTTAACAACTTAATGGGACATCTCAAGCAACTGGAAAAGGGAGAATATTCCAATCCCAAACCCAAAAGAAGAAAAGAAATAACCAAAATTAGAGCAGAATTAAATGAAATTTGAAAAAATTAGAATTATACAGCAGATCAATAAATCAAAAAGTTGGTTTTTTTAAAAGGTCAATAAAATAGATAAACCTTTGGCTAGCCTAACCAGGAAAAAAAGAGTAAAATCTCTAATTTCATCAATCAGAAATGGTAATGAGGAAATAATAATAGATGCCTCAGAAATTCAAAAAATCCTTAATAAATA